CCCCCTGCCCCCCCGTGACTGCGGCAGGCCCAGGCGGGGGCAGTCCCCCTCCCCCCCCCCAGCTCTGAGCATTTCCTGGTGCTCAATAGAAAGGTGTTGGCCATGCAGCTTAGTGAGAACCTGGGTCCCCAAGGCACCTGGAGCTGGGCCCAGCTGCCCTCCGCGCTGCCCAGTACCCACCTCCCTGCGGTGCTGCTGCCTCCTGCCCCAAGCCAGGTGGCTCCTAGGTGTGGAGTGAGCCTGCAGGGACGGGGGTCCGAGCTGTTCTGGGTCTAATTCCCCTCCCTCATGTGCCCCCAGCTGAGTCTGATGCGGTCGATCCGGGAGAGCATTGTGGAGCAGAGGTTCCCGCAGTTCGTCCAGGACTTCATGACGACCATGTACGGCAGCCGGGAGCGGTACCCACCGTGGGCCGTAGAGGCCCTGGCCTCCGTCCATATCACCCTGGAGTGACACGGGGGGGTAACCCCCCCCTTAAACTGAGCTTGGAGCGGCAAGAGAATCTCCTCTTGGCCTGGATTGTTCCACCCTCTCCCTGCCCCCCAGCAGCTCCTGCTCAGGCCCCTGCGTGCGGAGCCCGGCTGGCAGGAACAAAGCCTCGTGGAGGTCAAAACCTGGAGCCCAGAGCTCTGTGCAGGGGATGCTTGGCAGCCCCGGAGCCCTCCCGTTGGCGTGTGACATTCCCTGGGGCAGGAGCCATGGCCCCTCTCCCCCCCGGGGTTGTGGGGGCCAAAGGGCTCAAACCCTGCAGCCAAGCTCCTCTCCAAGTGGGTGTCTGCTTTTCAACTTTTTTTACTGTCCCTCGCCCCTTGGGATGGGGTTGTAATTAACGGTTACTTTTTAACGAGGCGGGGTGGGGGCTGCCCCCAGGCCCTAATAAAAGCTGTGAAGCTGCCTATGGAAATCAACTCTTCTCTGGTCTGGTGGGTGCATAAAATCCCCTGCCCCCCGACTGCCTGCAGCTACGGGGCACCAGTGCCATCAGCGCGGCAGGGCCTGCACGGCGTGTGCCCCAGGACGTGGGCCAGTCCCCGTACAGTGTGGACAGGGGCGGCGCTCTGGGGCGCCCGAGCTGGCCATAGCAGGGTCCTCCCCCCACTGCTCAGGCGCACCTGCTGTGGCGAGGGGCGAGGGCAGCTGGCTCCCAGCGCTGGTGCTGCCCGCTTTGGAGGTGACACCAGCAGGAGCCATGGAAGTCCGGACGTGTTCCCGTGAATTGTCTCCATCTAGGTGGAATAAATGTTTCTGTGCAGCGAGGCATGTGGCAGTGTGCACCACCGGAGCCCCGCAGTGCGCCCGGCTTACCCAGCCTGCATCTCCAGCAGCAGCCTGTTAATAGATTACCGCCCTCCTCTTCTCCCCCCTCCCAGCCCTGCACTCAGGGTGGGGAGGAAGCACATTCTGCTAAGACGACCCCCTGGGCCCACCAGGGACGTGGCAGCTTGTCCGTGCTGTGCCACAGCTTCTGGTGTGGCCTTGCCCCAGTTGTGTAGTCCCCGTGCCTCAGAGCCTGCATCTCCAGCAGCAGCCTGTTAATAGATTACCGCCCTCCTCTTCTCCCCCCTCCCAGCCCTGCACTCAGGGTGGGGAGGAAGCACATTCTGCTAAGACGACCCCCTGGGCCCACCAGGGACGTGGCAGCTTGTCCGTGCTGTGCCACAGCTTCTGGTGTGGCCTTGCCCCAGTTGTGTAGTCCCCGTGCCTCAGTTTCCCCACGTGTCCACTGGCACAAACAGCCCTGCCTGGAACAAATGCATCTGAGTGGGAGGGGGTGAACAGGAGCAGCTGCAGCCCACAGTGCGGGGGGGGGGGGCCCCCCCTACTTGTTTTTCGCCCCCCTCC